GGGGGGGGGGGAGGGAGAATTATTACGACGTTTCTGCATAAACTTTTGCGTTGGGTTCCGTTTTGCGCGGTCCGTCCTGCTTGTTGATGATGATGATGAGATAGTATTTGTTAAGACGACACACACGCCTGAAGAGTGTCTGTCGTGTTTCGCGACGTCACGCACGGGTTGCGAAGGGTGGCTTTTGCGTTGTTAGCTTTGTGATCGGCCATACCGCCACCAGGCTTGTGTTGACGGCTCTCTGTCTCTTCCAGCAGCGCATGAACACGGCCGCCAGGATCCATCGCCGCTGTCGGGCAAAGACTGCCGTAGTCAGAAATGCACGACCGTGAATGATGAGGGGGCTCCGTTGTGTCCGCGATGTCTCCGCCATTGGTACGTTTGGGGTGTCGTGTCGTCGTGTTCGGGAAGTTTGTTTTCAGGTCTTGATTCGATGAAGTAAATCATGTATCGTTATCGGCATACTTCGGAACAAGACTCTGATAGCGGGCACGACACACACACACACACACACACTACCCTGGTCTGTACTACTTCCTTTCGACCGTAACACGACGACGACAATCGCACCGCGCGACGGGACAGGCGACGCTCTTCCTTTTCTTCTCTCAGCCAAACCACCGGATTCGTTCCTACACATGAATTGCACAACAGCTGTCCGTACGTAGCCACCAATGAGCCTGGCCGTGTCGCATCCTTCAAGAACTGTGCGTGTCAACCGCGGTTAGTGGCCGAACATCACCCGCCTCGTTGCCGCGGAAGACCGTTCATTTAACAGCATTATGCATGCAACATGGTTCTCGCGTTGTAGCAAAAAAAAGAGAGGGGCATAAAATTTCGCACTTACTTGGGGTAACTCTTGCTTCGATGGGAGCACAGGACGACATCCATCGATTCGGCCAACGACCTTCACACCCGCGGCAAAATTGAACACACTCGCACGCGCACGCGCGCACACTTTTAATACGTTTTCTTTCTTCCGGGAAGACTGCAATACTGGACTCGACATTATTTACTTGCTTCCCCCCCGCGCCCCCCCCCCCCGGGAAGCAAAACACACGAGCGCGCGGCGCGCATCACATCCATCATCGCACGACGAGTCCAGCTGGGCCGAGAGACGTGCTTGTGGTGTAGGGGGCAAAGCCCATGCTCGCGATGTCCTCGGCGGGCACGCCACAGGCCTTGAGCTTGGCGGTGTAGGTGCGGAGGGAGTCGTTGTAGCCCTTCGCGGTCCTCACGAAGGCGTACTGCAGGTCGCTGACGGCGCCGTTCTTTGCGGTGAGGACCTCCTCCAAGCCCGTCATGACGCGATCGACTTCCGGCGGATCCAGCTGGATGGTTGGGGTTTTTAGTGCCGAGGGTGGAGAGGGTTGACAAGCCAATCGAATCGTAAGTTCATAAGTAGTTCGAAATAATCAGATTGTGCGGTTTCGGAAGCAAAAGCGAGGAAGGAGCCTACAGTAGACAATAACTAAACAAGTGTGCGGTGTGCTTGTATGCGCGGTGTGCCGGGTGGTATTGTGGCGGAGACCGGATGGCAAGGAGACTGATTTCCAGGTGGCTACAGAAGCCGTACCTTCGCTGCCGTGACAATCTGCGTCAGCTGTACTCCCGCTTTCTCGATCGATTCCTCAACCGAAGACATCCGCTGCTCCAAGGCCAAGTTTCTGGGGGGAAAGGGCGAATATACATATAAAGTGATACGTCGGGATATAGTGATACGTCGGGCGAAGGAACAGGCAGAGAGACAGGTTGGTATGTACGCCCATGGTCCAAACATCATGAACAGAAAATGTGTTCTAGCTTGCAGTTCCGTGTATTTCGTGGTAGGGGGTATTTTATCCTGGGACCATCCTGTAGCCAATGTTGCGGCTTCCGGATAATTCCACGCGATATTTCAATCGCCCAGGACACTGTTGTCATGCAAGCCCTTGCGAAGCGTCGGTGTGCCACCCCAGCCAGCGTTCGTGAGGAAAATTCCGCCGACCGAGAGAAAATCACGACCATGTCGGTCTAGTGCTACCTCTCTAGCAGCAAGTGGCAACCTTGCTGAAAACATCCCTCAACAACGAACGGTCGGTGCTCAACATGACAACTGGTAGGTCCGTTCGGACAAGTAGCGGCAGAAACAGACGGATCAACGCTAGCTGCTCGAATGTGAGCAACGCCCCCCTCCCACCTCTGGCTAATTCTTGTGAAACGTGGCCTGGCCGGCGAAAACTCGGCATTGCAAGGGATGCTATGGTCTAGCGACTACGGCATGCGTTTACACGAGTACCACCCCCTCCCCCCATGCTCCGTCCTCTCAAGGACGCTTGGTCAATGGTCAAACCGCTAAGGCATGCAAAACATAAGAGTACGCCCCCCCCCCCCCCCCCCCCCCCCCCCCCCCCCCCCCCCCCCCCCCCCCCCCCCCCCCCCCCCCCCCCCCCCCCCCCCCCCCCCCCCCCCCC